CTGCTGTTGTAACAGCGCGTTTTCGTTTCAGCAAGTAGATATCCATATTTTTAAATTGTTGGAGCATACGTAATCCTAAAATGTAGCATCGTACTACAGATGGCGTTTACCGTTAAGACAGCAGGTAAAGGTTGGTCTGTGTTCTGTCGGAGCTGCCTGCGACGCGCTGATGAGATCCAAAAAGATCGAAATCGCGATCCGCGTCCGGCAGTTTCGACAGAATACAGACCACTTCTAATTATTTTATTCGATTATGGTAACGTGCCTATCACGTTGAGGTTAGCTACGCCGGGATTCGTTTCAGCAAGCAGATATCCATATTTTTAAATGGACCTTGTTGGAGCATATGTAATCCTAAAATGTATCATTGTACTACAGATGACGTTTACCGCGCCATTTGTGGTATTTTCTAAAACGCGCTGTTAAGACAGCAGGTGAAGGTTGGTCTGTGTTCTGTCGGAGCTGCCTGCGACGCGCTGATGAGATCCAAACAGATCGAAATCGCGATCCGCGTTCGGCAGTTTCGACAGAATACAGACCACTTCGAATTAGTTTATTCGATTAAGCTAACGTTCCTATCACGTTGAGGTTAGCCACGCCGGGATTCGTTTCAGCAAGTAGATATCCATATTTTTAAATGGACCTTGTTGGAGCATACGTAATCCTAAAATGTAGCATCGTACTACAGATGGCGTTCACCACGCCATTTGTGGTATTTTCTACACATGTGAATTCACCTTTTTTGTTAATGAGTTACATACATCGGTCGTACCTCAAAGTAACACTTCAATTTTGTATTTAAAAAATGTGCGTCTTGTATGGTAATAATTACAGAAGCACCGGATTTCATTCGCCGAATATCGGATAATTCGGCTCCATTATCCGGTACCAGGCCGGATCCGCCGAGTACAGAATCTCTAGTAATAGTAGACTTGAAATTGGTTTTGTTGATGATAGAGATTACTGCTTCTGTGTAGATTTTACAAATACATATTTCGTTTGTTTATACAGATCGCGTTTTGCGGAGCAGAAGTCGAGAAATCGTATCAAATTGATTCATTTGGCTAACCTACTTAGAGCCAGTTGTAACTGCGTGAAAAATCGAATAACTATATTTTCGATTTTTATTACTTTTTTTGATAGTTCAATTTCGTCCACTTTTATGATTTGGAAATAATTAACGATAAGTGAAACAATTGCAGTCGCAAACTAGAACAACGCGATTTGTTTTAACAAAACAAAATTTAAAGCAATAAAACAAAAGTAATTTACTTATATTGGCTACAATTTTTGAATAACGAAGAATATTTTAAAATTCACAAATTGTAGGTTTGGTATAGAACTTTCATAACATCTGCCTATATCCCGAAATGCCAAAGAATTATTGTTTATCTCTTGGGTAGATAATTCAATATTAATTTCTTACTAATTGTATGTATGGGAAAGTATTTATCAGTCCGGATTTTGGAATACACTGGCTTAGTCTTTTTGAAGAACAAAATTTTCACAATAAAGTGATATTTATTTGTGTTTTTTATTGTTATCACCATCTTTAAGCCGATATCTTCATTACGAACTACTAAATTTTAAATACAAGACATTAATAAATAAACTAATGGTAGGCTTAAGATTAGTGATAATCTGAGACACAGTAGATACTTTGATGTATTTGAATCACCCTGTATATTTATCTATTAATAAACGAAATGCATAGGGAGCTGACCATAAATTGTCTAACACTAATTGGGGGAAGCCCAGCCGGCCGTTATGGGTCTGTTACGTACGAGGAGGAAGAGATTAATATTTCCGTTCAGTAGCGATTTTAGAATTTATTAAAAATTGAATTCTTATTAGAAATTAAAAAATCTTTTTTTAATTGAATCCTAAAATTTTTACATTGCACGTGTTTGCGTAATGGGAAGGGGTAGAGGGGTCAAGCTACTCTTTACAATCTCGTTGCATGGGGAGTAGGGAAGAAATTGATGAATTTTGTGTGACGTAATTTAGGGTCAGTAATAAGTATGTATACTAAGTGTAGAAAACTATTCTTTTAAAAATAATCAAGAATTATTGTTTAGTATATTTGTACCTATGTACGCCAAAAATTAATCAATTTCTCATTTCTCAAATAAATGGTTAGTATAACAAATTCTTCTTCCCTACCAGTCACTGTGAGCTCGAAACTGTTAACACCACTGCTTCGAGTGATCGAAATTCACTTTTGTGTACAATTTGTTTAATCACTTTCTTTGTGTTTAAAATTGTTTGAAAAATTAAATTTAGAGAATTGTTTGTAGATAGGTATGCAACACATCGTACACTTCGGCCTAAGAAATTGCTGACACTACGTAATAAATACTACTTTGCCTTGTGATGACAGCACTCATTTCTTTTATGTATAATATTTGTATTTATAGTCAGAATGAAATTAGAAGATGTTAATTACAATGAACATGGGATTCCTTCAATTTTTGAGAATAGTTTCTCTTTAGTTATTTATGTGATATAATTGAAGATATTTTGTAGTAATAAATACTGTGTATTGTCGAGAGTGTATAGTTTCTCTGAAAATGCTTTTTTGTTAAAATTAGTTATAAAAAATGTACCTGTCTAATGTAGTTTTTTTAATGATATTGATTTCTTCATTGTAAGATAAACCGTGTAAAGCGTACTATTCCTTTGTCTGTTTAATTACCAGTGTTCACATAACAATTCCAGATTAACGTCTATTAAGTTAATTATTTAATTTAATCAAAGCCTTTTACAGTATACCTACTTGTTAAAATTTCTTCGTTATTGTTTTCAATATGTTGTTTTTTGAAAACAATAATGATTCTTGATGGTAGATTATTTTGGCTATCTCATTCAATAAATTTTGAAGTTCGAATATGATTGCGTATATTTATGTATGTAAAAAAGTATTGCTTAATATTTACTTTGAAGTTCTACTTTATAATTAATTAATAATTTTTTGAACCCTGAAGCTTCGCGAAAGTGAGATGAACATTACGAAATACAATTAGGGAAATTAAAGGAATAATTAATAGATGTTTTGAGAAAGTGTATAATTTAAAATTTTAATGATAAAGTGGGTATTGCAGTCAGTGAACTTAATAAATGGACTGTTCTTCCTGTAATAACAATGTAAACCGTGTAATAAGGTGAAGGTACATTTATTTTTAATAAATGGTCTTATAACCAACGTATCCACACGCAGAAAAAAAACAATACCTTGTTCTAGAATAGAAAGACTTATTACATACTAATATCTTCCTGTTGTCCGAGACTACGTCCGCGTGAAATTCGATTATATCGTAAATTCTCATTTTACACCTTAGGGGTGATATTTTAAAAACTCATTTTATAGGCTTGAATTTCATTGAGACGCTTCTGGATTAATTCATCATAAGGTCGTCAGTCCTAAGCCTGGTTAGACACGCGCCTCCTATCCTGAGCTAATCTTCGCTTTTCCCCAAAACTATAATTGTCCACATTCTTAACTATTTGCGAACAATAATCTAATCTACTTTTTTTTCCTTGCATACTAATATTATTGTTTTACTTTTATTTATTTTCATACGATACTGTTTTGTCAATACCGTTTCCATTTGATTTAAAGCAATCTCTAACTCCTCCTTGCTAGATAGATGCTAATACTGCTATATCATCTGCAAAATCAAAGCATACTAATGTTTTGCCCCCTTTATATCAATCCCGATCGCGTTTTCGGTGTATAGATTAAAAAGTAGCGGTGACAGTGTGCATCCCTGTCTGACTCCCATATTTATTTCTCTAAAGTAATTAATTAAGGATGAAAAAATTTCGAACTTCGAAATTGGAAGAATTAAAATAGGCATTTCAAAGAAATTGAAAAATTCCCTCCTAATAAATGAGTTCGGTGTGCATTTCAGTTTTATAGCAACATTCAATGGATGCGTTAAATATTATTAGCGAAACATTAAACTTTACTGTTACTATATTGTACATGTGGGCTTCTGGCCTACTTTTGTAAGAAAGAACACTACATTCTGTTGTTGCTACATACCGTGTATAAGAACGATCATTTGAAAACTGATGAAAAATAAGGCTAATAATGAGATTTGTTTGTTAATTTTTGATATTTATTTGCTTCTAATTTCAATTTAAAAAAATAAATATTGGCGCCTATTTGTGTTTGATGTTTTTTTTTTCTTTATTTACAACTTAAATAACGGTCAACCTGCAGACTGTATTACGGGCCCCTTAAGGTTAAATAATAGATTTTTGGCAAGATCCGGCAAATAGTTTAATTTGACGATAACAATTTACTTCCGTCAACTGACAATTTTTTAATGTATTTACGAAAAAAAAAATACGAAAGAAAGTTTTTTTNGCATTATCTTTATTGTCTCGGTTAATTCTCAATTAATTGCAGTAAAATAAAATGTTGTATTCATATGATTTAAATTTATTTGAATTGAACTATTAGGGTTCATTTGTATTTTTTTAAGGACAAATGACGTTGTAAATAGCTTCTAATTAAAAACTACTTAAAAATCACTTGGAATTTCATGATACCGGAGTTCATCCAGAGATATTGAAATTATTTCTAATTTAAATGTATATTTTTCTTTTGTTACATATAATATTCCTTTAAATAAATTATTTATTACAATATGTACTTCCCCTAAAAAAAAAGGAATTATCATTTTATGAGTAATCTAATTCGGAGTCCTCGTAATAATTGTAGTAATGAAGATACTTTAGCGTGGATAATTTGGGAAGCTGTATATTTTGTTAAAATATGTTTAAAGAAATATCGAACATATAACCTGAATGTTTAAGTTGCTTTTTCTAGCAATTATTAGAGAACTATTTTCAATTTCGAATTCAATATTAATTTAATGTTCTTGTTTTCGTCCTACCTTCATAATATGCATTTAGCAAATTTGGATTAAAAAAATTATTTAACTTTTTATAGAAGTGGACGATTTTTTATTTATCTTCGTCTTTATTTTTAGTACCCGCAGACGATATTGTACGATCCTGCCCGAAAAAAAGAGCCTTCTTCAACATACTCAGCAGAGCGAGACGCATGTTTGAGATTTTTCGAAAAATGGAACGAATCGGATCAGGTGGAATTCGTGGAAAATTTATTGGCTCGTATGTGTCACTATCAACACGGGCATATCAATTCCTATCTGAAGCCTATGTTACAAAGGGATTTTATATCGCTTTTACCAAGTAAGATTTTCGTCTTCTTTACTAATAGTTTTTACTCAGTTGCAGGGTAACCGTCATTCCTTATAGTTACCTTTTATAAATTTTATTTACGTTTCTATTTTTAATATTAAAATAATGCTATTTTATTTTTAATAAAGAATACTGTAAGAAAAATGTGGCGTTTGTAGTTATTTATTTACTTTTGATTGACGTTGCAATATTTTTTTTGTAAATTGTATTACTTTTATTAAAGAGAAAGGGTTAGATCACGTGGCCGAAAACATCTTATCGTATTTGGACGCAGAAAGCTTGTGCGCCGCAGAATTAGTGTGCAAAGAGTGGCTTCGTGTTATATCTGAGGGTATGCTATGGAAGAAACTCATAGAGAGGAAAGTGAGAACAGATACGTTATGGAGGGGTCTCGCGGAAAGGCGACAGTGGTATGTTAAAAGATCGATAACAAAACGATCGATTTCTAGGCTATCGAGTTGGAGCTTAAAATTTCGCTTTATTTTAAAGGATAAACTAATTAGACAAATAAAAATAAAAAAGTGTTTTCAATTTTGTTTTATTTATGTTTTTTGTGTATGATTAATATATTACTGTATTATTGATTTAATTGAGTCATTTTATCATTAGTATTGCTTTGTGCAATTATTATATGTTAAATAATTTAAGAAACATTTAATTAAAAGGTAGGATAACAGGTATTCGATGAAATAAGTACATTTATAATTTATTTAAATAGTTCTAATTTGATATAAACACCCTATGTCCTTGTCTTTGAGAATGTAGAGTTGAGTTTGCTGAAGAAGTCACAATGGTGTGAACAAACGTTCAGTCGTCAATCAAAATAAGTTCTCGGTGTTCATTACATATGAAGCAAATTTAGGGTGAAAATTTTTATAAGCCCATTGTATATTCGTTGTGTCCAAATACCTATGATAACCCGCCTTTTAATTAAATTGTCCTGAACGTGAACAATCAGAAGTTACCATATTTTGAATAATTATCTGATTAGAAGATTTGTAGATTATGTACAATTTGGTTTAAAATTTTTTAGCAATTTTTATAATTTTCTCGTTTAGGATTCAGTACCTGTTCAAACCGAAACCGGGCGAAAACATTCGGCCTCATTCGTTTTATCGCGCTCTTTATCCAAGAATCATCCAGGACATAGACAGTATCGAAAACAATTGGCGAATGGGTCGGCACATATTGCAAAGGATCAACTGCCGATCAGAGAACAGCAAAGGCGTTTATTGTTTGCAGTACGATGATCAGAAGATTGTATCGGGATTACGAGATAATACGATTAAAATATGGGACCGGCATTCGTTACAGTCGACCAAGGTGTTGACGGGACATACGGGATCTGTGCTCTGTCTTCAGTACGATGACAAAGTGATAATAAGCGGCTCTAGTGACTCGACGGTCCGTGTATGGAACGTGAACAGTGGTGAGATGGTCAACACTCTGATACATCATTGCGAGGCCGTTCTCCATCTAAGATTTAATAATGGGATGATGGTCACATGTTCAAAAGTGAGTAAATGTGTATTTCGAGGGTGTAAGGTCTAACGACTGAAAAGCCTAAATGTTTACACCGCATATCCTTTAAACCTCGCACTTTGTAACAGAAAAAACTTCTATGAAATTTACCCCACTCGCATCCATTTTGTGTTTCAAGATTTACATGACAGAAGGACACAAAAAATTAAGCAAATATTAAGTATCCCTGAAGTGAAATGTAATTATAAAAATTCCCTTTCCTTCTCTGTCTACGTGAGGTTGTATTTATAAAAAAAAATATGAGTTGCCAGTTTTGAATGCATTCGAGTGATACAAGTGGAAGAAGAAGAGATTGAAGAATGTTTATGATGGGTTTGTTTTTGTTACAGGATCGTTCTATCGCAGTGTGGGATATGACGTCGCAATCGGAGATATCGTTACGTCGAGTCTTGGTGGGACATCGTGCGGCTGTGAATGTGGTTGATTTTGACGAAAAATATATTGTGTCCGCGTCTGGGGACCGTACGATAAAAGTGTGGAACACATCGACGTGTGAATTCGTGAGAACATTGAACGGACACAAACGCGGAATCGCGTGTTTGCAATATCGGGATCGATTGGTCGTGAGTGGTAGTTCCGACAATACCATTAGGTAAGTTATCTTATTATCACAAGGTAACCGAGCGGCATGGCCTAGAGGTCTAGACCATTGCTTAGCCCTTGGGCAAATGCTGAGGCAGTAATATTCCACAGATAATCTTTCACTCTCTTCTGTCTTCATTTCGTCCGTCTCATCTTTCTCACCCGAACCACCACCCACCCATTCCCACGATTCCTGAAAGCAGGCTGAAGAGGGCCTTCCGCCCTACCTTCCGGCATAGTCCGGAGGGACTGCCCGCCCACCGGCATTACTGGCTGGTGGGAATGAAACACCCAAAATTTTTTTTTTTTTTTTTTTAAATTACAAGGTATTGAAAGAAATACATCATTTAACTTTGGATAGTAATTGGTCCGCCAGACCAAAGGGGCTAAAGTCCACATCTACTATATTTGAGCAAAGAGAATTTTGTGTAGGCCAACGAATGGCATTTTGGGTATACCCCTGATTGTCACTCGGTTACATGGGGAGGGTTGTGTTTGATTTTCTTCTTTGTAATTTTAAAATATTGAGATTAGTTTGGATTTACACAAGTATGATGTCTGTTTTCACTTTAGACTGTGGGATATTGAATGTGGTGCTTGCTTGCGAGTCTTGGAGGGTCACGAAGAGTTGGTACGCTGCATCCGATTCGATTCGAAACGGATTGTAAGTGGTGCGTATGACGGGAAGATCAAAGTATGGGATCTTGTGGCTGCGTTAGATCTACGAGCGCCTGCAAATTCCCTATGCCTTAAAACGCTGGTTGTAAGTTAATGATTTAATTTTTATATTTTGAAAACTATTTGACATTTAATAATTTTTATATGATGGCTTAGTATTGTTTAATTATTTTGTTTGTCTGACGTAATTATTTAACAGGAGCACACGGGACGTGTGTTTAGACTGCAGTTCGACGAGTTCCAAATAGTTAGCAGTTCACATGACGACACGATCCTCATATGGGACTTTTTGAATTCCTCCCCTGACGTTATTCCAAAAAGAGGCCAGTCATGTACGCAAATGTCGACACGATCACCATCCCGTTAGTAAATCGAATTAATTATTTGATTCGCTCATAACTATAATAATTTAAAGATTAAAATGATTCACTTTGTAGGTTAAGGGTAGTTTTAATTTTATTTTCGATTTTCAGCATTTGAGTGATTTCGCAAGCTCCTTTATCAAACCGATGGACCAGAAATTAGTCGTACATTCTATATAAACCATGCCGAACAGCTTCGTGTGGGTGTGCTTGGTAAAATCCCTATTACGAATAAACGATTCTCTTCGATTTTGAAAAGTTACCTTAAAATGGCACATTCCCCCATAACCAATCGACCGTCTTCTACTCTCCTCCTTTCCTCCTACTCACTTCCCAATTCTGCGCGTTGTCTTAGTACAAATTACTTATTCGTAAAGTGTAAATAAATGCATTAAACAAAATTGTTTGCCGATTAAACAATGTGTCGTGTTTACGTTTCTATATACTTTTTAATTTTGAAAAACAAGATAGAGAGAGAGACAGAGAGAGTGAGTGAGAGACAGAAATAGACACAGGAAGAAAAAGAGGTGGAGTGAAAGGGATAAATGAATATACACAGGGTGTCCTATGCAAGATGGTTTTAACGACAAGTAGGCGTATTATTATTTGTTGGAAGCAAATTTTTAGAGCACTAATCTAGCATGTTTGCAAACTGATTCGAGACTAGTAGTGATAAAAAATACATGCTTACATTATAAATATATCGAGAAATTATTGTTGCTCTTAATACTATTATTATTATTATTATTTACGATTATTATTATATAACGATATGGATGGAAAAATTACTCTGCTGATGTACATAGTATGTATATTGACTTGATCTCTGTGCAGCTGTTCGAATTAGATAAGAAGACAAAAAAGTTTCCCGGGAATCTCAAAAAAAAAAGAGGATTCACCATCGCTTGTTTTTCGTAAAAAAATATTTTCTTTTCGTTTGTTGCAAAATAGGAACCTGAAGAAAATTGTATTTAATATAAGTGTAACGTTTCTTTTGATTAAGGCGTTTGTACATAGTGTTTGAATGTGTGTGTAGAGAACTATTAAAATGGACTTGTAGAGGCGCGTTTAGCATTTGGTTAGTTTTATGCTTCAAAGCCTCTCCAAGAACATGTTTTAAAAATACTAATTAAAAAAATACACATTAATTATAGTGTCGTACATCTATACACTACTTATTGTATGTAAGATCATAACTGACATGAGTGAATAATGAGAAAATACAATTCTGCGTGTATTACTGCTTATGATGGGATTTTGACAGTAACGAATAACAGTATCAACTCTTTATTAATTAATTTTAAAGGAAAAAAAACATTAAAAGGTTCAACAATCAGACAAATGTTTATTTGCGTAAGGCGTAGCATTTAATGTGATAAGATTGTATTTTAGACTTTCTAATTATTATTTATTAAACGAAGGTGATTTTTTAATTGTTTTTAAATAATGTTACACCGATGCCTGATATAAAAAACACAAAAAAGTAAATAAAATACTTTTTTGAACCATATGGTATTTCATTTATTTAAAAAGTTGAGAGTAATGTGAAATGTTTGTTGTTAACTAAGTATGTCAGATATGTTTAGAATATAAGGGTTCATACAAAAACGATTAACTACTAAGGTACTGTTTAGAGCCGGTAGTGCCTATTCGCATTATCACATCAACATAAGGTCGCCAGTCTGTCTCTCTCATATACCTAGAAATGTATATTACGCAAGAGAGATCATAAGCGAGGATCTATAGTGGCCATCATTTTAAGGCAACTTTAACAGCCTGTTATACAGACCGCATGTAAACAGAGGACACCAAGCGGCGCACGCATCATATCATACGTAAAAGTGACGCCATCTTTTGTCTCTTTTATATCGGCTCAGTAGTATCGAGTCAGAATCGAACAAAAGCGGAATATATTTCTAGGTATATGATCTCTCTTTACTCCTGCTTCTGCTCTGACTAATCCTTCCAGTTTCAGGTGTACTTTCCTACTTTTCTGTATTCATATTTTGTTTTTAACTTTTTCTAACTCCTCATTTGTAACCTTTTTTATCGACGGTATTTTTACTATCCACCTCAACACGACATCTCAAACACTTCTAACATTTTGTATGTCGTATTGCACCCGCCCAAAGCCGTGGATTATTTTTGTTATGACTACTGCATTTTCCATCCTAAATTATCCGACTTATAACATATTGAAAATTATCGTTCGCATTGTTTTACAAATTTTAAAACTACAATACAATATTAAAAACGGATGTGAAAGGGTTAGTAGAGGTAATAGAACTTTCAAAATAAGAACCATTTCTTAGTAAAAAATATTTTAATATCAATACGGCAAAGACTTGATTCAGGAGAGAATAATTTTTCGTAATATTATTACATTATCTGTTAGTTATTGTTAGGGGGTACTTTTTTATAAAACAAACATAAGTATATAATTAACTACTGACACATTCTTTTACATTTATTACTGGGGTTTAAAGAGTTAGTTCTTGTACATATCTAAAATACTGTAACAGTGTGATGAAATGAAATACTTGGTTTTTAAACACGTACGAAAGGTAATTTTAATTCATTTTTCTTACATTCTATTTTTATTCATACAGCGCGTACAAAAAAAATATAATACAATTTCCAAACTTTCCATATAAACAAATTCTTTTAATTTCTTATCGTCTAAATTTCATAATTTATTTTACAATTTTTGATAATGGCTTTTATGGGTTTACAATTTCGCTTGTTATAAATAAAATATTTTTTATTTTAACGAGGGTGCACGGCCCAGTGTAACGATTTTACTTAAAATAGAAATAACTTTTTGACTTCGTAAAGCGTCAAATAAGTTCTGCAACTAATTTATGGTGATTATCATTTGATCGGGAAGACGTTTGGTTGTGATCTTCTGGAACTTCTATGTAGCCCCCTATTGGGTCAGGTACCTGGAACGTCGACCCTTGGAAGCCCATTGCAGCTTCGTAGTACTAAGAAAAAATAAAGAAGTGCAAAATAAATTATCATAAAAAAAAAGGTCTAGAAAGGTAGTCATCTTAAAAATGCAGCGTAACTTACGTTTGGGGTTCCCCTAATTGTACTATGCGGACTATTTGACGTTACGGGTACTCTGGATAGGGTGGCGTAGTCTGCCGTTTCGTCGGCGATCGACATACTTGCTATGTGCGAAGACCCTCTTCTGTGAGGGTGTTGAATAGTTGCGTAAGTATTGTCCTCCTTAAACAAATGTAGAATGTATTTTAACACTGTTTTTTTTCAGATGCCGTCCAAAATAGTTGAAAAGTCAAAAAATTAGTAAAAGATTGGAACAAAGAGTTTAAAAAGTATAAATATTCCAACACACAGAAAATCATTTGTTTGATTGCAATATAATCAGAAAAAAGAAAGGAAATAGTTAGTAATAATTACAATTGTATTTAAACAAAAAAAATAATAAAGACTTGTTTTCTTAAAGGAGGTTTTTGGTATTACTACTTTAATGTAGGTAATTAAAATTTTGTTTCAATTGTTCACAGCAAAACTGATTTTGGTTAACTCTATTCTTTAAATACACTATTGTTCATGATTTATTGTGTTTTACTTAATATTGTTATTTTTTCTTGATATTTATTATTCGGTAGATTTCGCCCCTTGCGTCCCTTTGCGGCCGTTTTTCTTTTTTATTTATGTCTCTATTCTTACTATATTTTCAATGTTGTCTGTCGTGGCTTGAAAAAGGCTTTGCCTTTACTGTTTATATTAATAAGAGAAAAGATATAACTCGTTTCAAACGGTTAAAGATGTGACCTTGAGGAAAGCTGATGAATAGAAAAAATACACACTAAGCGTATCCATGTAAAGGGAAGGGGCATACCTATAACCGTTTGAAATAAGTTGAGGGTGTTAATGTCAGCTTTGACTGCCTCTATGAAAATTGACAACATTATTAACTTGATATGAATTAGGAATAGCTTGACAATTTTAATTGCAGATAAAGACCAAGCCTGTAAGAAATAAAACTAATTTGATCAAAACTATTCAGTGGTTTTGTGTGATGCGACTACATCAATTTATCACTTTTAATTATGAGTCAACCAATATGGTAAATAGTAAAATACTACGTTTGTCTTGTGATATTAAACTCACTAAATTTGTGTATAAATATACGTAGTATTATTTAGATTATGTTTTATACTAGAATAAACTGTTAAAACATCTAACAGCTTACAAAAATTTATTTTTGATTGATTAGTATCGCAGTTTATTCCTTCAATATTCCCTCTTCAAGAGGGCCGCGATCAAATTACTTCTTAACACAATTTATTATTTTGTTATTTTCTTCTGTTTGAACTGAAATTAGTTTGATTTATTGTCACACGGTCCAGTTGTACTTACTTGGATCATTTCACCCCCATTCCTTTCCAAACCGTTGTGCTCAGGCTCATTGAATACTTGCATTGTCAGTTCTTGCTCCTCATAAATTTTCAGTTTCCTTCAAAATAGTTGTCAAAATTACCGGTGAGCGAATCTATTATAAGATATACAAAACTTACTGTTCGATCCAAAGCGGATTTTCGGTGGTGTTCAAATCGTCTATAATTGCTTTCTTGATGAGTGCATCTTTTTTCTTTAGTTTATTGGGTGTAATCATCCATCGCCTCAGACAACAGCACACAACTATGAATGTGATAATGCCCACAAAAAGGACTATTAGTAGCGCTATTAGGGCTGCTAGAGCGGGATCAAATAGTTCCTCTTTTTCCATTATGAACGCAGGCAACACGTTTTCGATCGCGTAGCCGGCGTAGTAATCCCGAAGGTAGTCGTATTTAGCGTCTATAACCTTTAGAACCTCCGGAACGGGAAGAACAGTGTATGTTGAAGGATTCACCGCAAGAATGTACATATCGCTCCTAGATTTAAAAAAATCTTGAGTTTTATTTCTTTTAAGGGTGAAAAGATACAGTCATTGGGGATTTTTTCTGATTGCAGGCATGCGCATTACTTAATAAAAAATGGAGCGCAACTTTGGCTTAAAATTTCAGTGCAATTGAACAGTACATTGACTTCGAAACTTCATTTTTAATATGCTAGGGTCATAATAGTAAATTAGAGTAGTGGTGGTTACTGGGAAAAGTAAAGCCCTTACCAATTTTCATTTTTCTTTCCGTTTAATTCTGTATGGTACCGGATTTCGTTGAGAACAATCAAACTCTGAGTGGCGTTACTTAATTCTTCAATTATTTCTTCCTGTTCTTGTAAAACTTCTCCAACAGGTCTCGAGAGTATTACACGGATAAGTTGTTGAGGTTCAAAAATCCACACCTGTTAAATTTGGAAAAAATTTAATGCGAAATGTGTATTATAATATTCTGGTGGGGAAACTGTCACAGTCAGGAACATAATATTCTTCTGGGCTTCTAATTTCTTTCATGAGATCCCAGCAGAAAGATCGCAACCTCAAAAAGCCCGAAAGAATATTGTAAATAATACATTAACTGTAAGAGTTCTTACATTAACTTTGGCAATCGCCTCTCTTTCTGGAAGTGCCACCTCTTTAGCAACAACATCTACCACGAATCTGTGCTGATTGTTTTCGGCCAAATAGGTGGCAGTGGTTAATTCACCCTTTTGGGTAATATTAAACGGTGATGGTATGATCGATCCAGAGCTTTTCGTCGATCCATATTTGTAAAGGTTCGATGCTTTGACGTAATAAATAAGAGTACCATTAACTCCTTCGTCGGGATCAGTGGCAGTAACGTTGACGAGGAACTTGTTCACTGGAGCCATCGCACTGACCGATGCGTAATACGTTGACTTTTTGAATTTTGGTTCGTTATCGTTCAGGTCGACGATAGTTATATGAACCTTAGCAAAACTGCTATTGTGAGCGATGTCCGTTTGGAGAAGTTTGTTTTTCTCTTCGGGAGATATATAAAAGTCGGGTTCATTAGTTGCCAGGATGCATAAATTATATTCGCTCTTTTCTTCACGATCGAACACTTTGTTGGTAAAAATACTACCGTCCAATTTGCCCACTTTGAATGAGTCGTCTTCAGAACCGCAAATTAAATAGTAGAAAACTTTCGCATGGCGTCCTTCATCCCTGTCTAATGCCCTTACTTGACCTAAAATTGATATGTTCTCCAGTTTGATTAATTAATATATAACTACATTTGTTCATACCGATTTTTTGTTCTTTTTCTGAATTTTCAACGATAGAAAACCTGTATGGATTTGCGGTTATGGTGTCAGGGAATTCGGGTCGGTTATCGTTCATGTCTACTAAAATTATTTTTAGGTGTTCCTCTGTTTCATGCCAGAGAGGGAACCCATGGTCCTTAGCTACCAGCACAAGCTTGAAACAAGTAAATGGGATTTTTAGTAATGGCAGAAAAGCTTTTTTTTCTCAGCAAATTTACCTCGTATTTCGATTTGGTTTCTCTGTCCAAAGCACGTTTCATTTTCAATTCCCCCGTTTCTTTGTTTAATATGAAATCTTCAGTCTCCGAGACTAAACTACCATTCACTTTGATGTGATAGGTGACTTTACCGTTTTTACCTACGTCTTTATCGATCGCTTTTAGTGTCATTACCAAATAACCTTCGGAGGCATCGTTCTAATAAATAAATAATTGTAACAAAAATTAGAGGACGCGAAAATAATTAAAAAAAAAAGTGTCACCTCAATAATTTCGACAGTAGCGTTGGGTATTGTTGGCATTACAAACCGAGGTTTATGTTCGTTGACATTAACCACCTGGATGTTGATAATTGCTCTATCAGATAGTTCACCATTTCCTTCTCCATCCCGGGCTTCTACAATGAGTTGGTGATTGTGGGGTTGATCTACTAAGCTTTTGTGAGGGTACAAAATGCCGGTGTCGATTCCCAGAAGAAAAGTACCTGCAATATAAATTTTTTTGGAAAAAAATGCAGTGAATATCTGTGCGAAATTCAAGGGACAATTTGGAACACTGCTATTTTACCTATATAAATATTTCATTTGATATTTAAAAATCCGTTGAGGAAGTTATTTAGATTTGAATTCCACACCTTCACTTACCATTATCATTTCCGGATAGTATCCTATATGCCACATTCCCATTATTCCCTTCATCTAGATCGGTGGCAAAAACCTGGAGTATTGGAACGGGTGGATTCAGCCTTGCGTTCTCCATTACTGTAGCATTGTAAACACTCTGGTTAAACTTGGGGGCATTGTCATTGACGTCTGTTATCTCTATATTAATTGGCACGGATACAGAGCGTTTCAAATTACCGGGCGCTCTATCACTGGCAACTACTTGTATCACAGTTTCGTTGATGATCTCGTGATCGAGGTAATTTGAATTCGCTACTGTGATTTCGCCTGTTTCGGAATCTATATTGAAATGCTCCTTGTGTTCTCCAGTTAAACTGTACGTTACAATTCCATACTCTCCAGCGTCAGCGTCTGTCGCGAGAACGGTAAGTACGTGCGTGCCGTTGGGAGAATTTTCCGGAATCTTCACGTTGTAAGTCTTCTGGGAAAATGTGGGATCGTTGTCGTTAACGTTGATGACGTGCACCTTAACCAACGCCGAAGTATTTAGTTGGGGAATTCCCAAGTCGAATACGACAACCGTAAAGTTTAATTCTCTAAGTTTCTCGTAATCGATTTGCTTCTTAATTTGCACAATACCTGTTAGATAAATTGGTTATTATTTAAACGTATTTTGAAATAAAAGTACCTACAATGGTACTATATAGGTACCTGTGCCATTATTAATTTCAAAATATTCGCTAGGAGGGATAATGATGTAACCAGCGATTTCCGAATCTTCATCTATTGCTGTGTAAGTGGCAACAATTGTACCAACCGGAAGCTCTTCTTTCACTTCTAGTTCGTAAACTGGATTATCAATTGTCCATGGGGGAAGAAACTGCGGAGCATGATCGTTCACGTCAATAATATTGATTATTAACAAACCTGAAATTCGAAGGCGAGCCTGCAGTATTTATTTCCATCGATAATGAATTTGTGAATTTTATATTTGTATTTACCTTCTCCTTGTTGAACAGAAGGTGCTGTAATATCTGTCACCAAAACGGGGATTCTTATCACTGCTGCTACATCTCTTTCTAGTGGATTTAAGACGGTGACTTTGCCTGTGGTCTTGTCCACTGAGAAAAAATCCTTGAACAAATCGTTTGTTACCTCCTGGCCATATTTGTCAAGTGCTGTAATGGGTTCGGTGACTGCAAAGTTTAGGGCTTCCGAAGAATTAACGTCAGGATCCAAAGCTACTAACGTATGAACGATGGTTCCTACGGGAGCGTCCTCCATAATCTGTTAGAAACGGAAACAATGCTTTATTTCTTACAACTAAAAGTTGAAAACGTAAGGATTGTGTTGGCCTACTTACACTGGCTTTTTGAGTGACTGGAACAAAATATGGAGACTTATCATTAACGTTGAGAACATTGAGGATGATCCTAGCGGTTGCGTTTAGACTGGGCGTTCCATGATCCATGGCGATGACTTCAATATTATAAGTGTTTCTTCTATCATAGTCTAAATCGTTGACTAAGATTATTTCACCCGTTTCACTGTCGATTTCGAAGTCATTAAATGAACCCTTTAGGATTTCGTATTCGATTTTTGCGTTGTCTCCCATGTCAGCGTCAACAGCTTGTACTTCCAGAATCGTTGAAGCTTAATATAAAATTAAAAATTAGTAAAGAGAAAATGGTCAATTAATTTGGCTTCAAACTCTTCAAAATTTCTTACCAACTGGAAGATCTTCTGGAATTGCTTTCATATAACTTTCTTTAGTGAATATTGGAGGATTGTCATTGATATCTTTCACAGTGATCGAAACTTGAGTCGTGGCTGTATATTTTCCATCACTGGCCTATGAAAAACACTGATAATATTCTGATAAAATTATGATGTATATCAGTATACCTCGACATTTAGTACAATATTATTATCCTCGTCATTTCCAGATTTAAGGCTGAGACCTTTGCTGTTTGCGATTCTAATTTTGCCCGTATTTGGATCAATAGAGAAGAGGTTGTTGTTGTTTCCAGCAATAATCGAGTAGGAAATGTGCGAAATTTTGTCGATGTCGGTGGCTTCTATAACCACGTCTGGATTAAATTTTACCGCACCTTCATCTACGAAAATGTGGTAAATGGATTGGGAAAATCTGGGAGGATTGTCGTTGCTATCGGTTAATATTATTTTCAAAGGTACAATCGTTGTTTGACCTTTGCCATCGTCATCGGTGGCCTATGATACCATAAAAAGTACAATATTAATAAAACAAATCAGTACTGTATGAAAATAAATAAAAGTAAAACTAAAATATTGATATGCAAGGGAAGAAAAAGTAGGGAAAGAGCGAATATAAAGATAGGAGACGAAAAATTAGAAGAAGTGGCTGATTTTAGATACCTAGGAAGTCAGACAAGTGAGGATGGAAGGAGTAGTAGGGATATAAAGCAGAGGATAGCGCAGGGTCGTGTCGCCTTTAATAAAAAAAAGTCACTTCTATGCTCGCGAACGGTTAATTTAGAAATTCGAAAAAGGTTGTTAAAGGTGTATGTTTGGAGCACGGCGTTGTACGGGTGCGAAACATGGACAGTGGGAGCGGCGGAAAAGAAAAGGTTATAAGCGTTCGAAATGTGGTGTTATAGGCGGATGATGAGGATATCGTGGGTAGAAAAGGTTAGAAATGAAGAGGTATTGGAAAGAATAGGAGAACAGAGGACTCTATGGAAGTCAATAAAAAATAGGCGAGATAGGTTGGTTGGACACCTTCTCAGGCATGAAGGTCTAGTCAGAGACATATTAAAGGCAGAAACAGGAGTTAGGAGGGGTAGAGGTAGACCTAGATTAGATCACTGTTCGCAAATAGTTAAGGATGTGGGCTGTTCTAGTTTTAGGGAAATGCGAAGTTTAGGTCAGGATAGGAAAGAGTGGAGGTACGTGTCCAACCAGTCTTAGGACTGATGACCTTATGATGATGATGATGATTATTATTATTTTTATTTACCTTGAATGATAGGGAATATTCGGGCTTGGTTTCATAATCCAAACATTCTGGTTGACCGGGTGCCTCACAGGTTGCCACAGTTACAGTTCCAGTTCTGTTATTGACTTCAAATTTTTCGGCCCCATTACCAACCAGTTGATAGACCAAACCATTTTCGCCAAACCTTCCGCTGTCTCTGTCTTTGGCTACGATACTTGTTACTAGGGTTCCTCCGGTTGCCATTTCCGAAACCTGGGCAACGTAAGCTTCTTGAGGAAACTCAGGAGCATTGTCGTTCGCGTCTGTAACTGATATCTTCACCGTAGCCGTAGATGATAAAAGAGGATCGGTATACAGTTCCTTAGCGACAATTAAAATGATAAATTTCCTTTGGTTCGGATCTTCATAGTCCAATGAACTGTTGGCTGTGTATATTTTGACTTGCGAAGATCCGTTTACCACGGAAGGTTGGATGGCGAAAGCTCCGGAAATGTCTTGTAGAGATAAAGAAAATATCGCATTCAAACCCTGACGAAGAAAAATGTAGATGAGACAATAGTGCTTCATGAAAAATATTTATTTGGTACTACCTCATCTGGATCCGTAACAGTGATGTTCAAATTAGGTAGAGAAACATTGCTGGGTATATCTTCGGGTATTTCCACGTGATACTCCCTCTGATTGAAAATAGGTGGTTCATCATTAACATCTGTTATTTTAATCGTAACTGTTGCTTCCGAAATGGTTAAGGGATCGTCGCTTTTTACCCCGTTAACAAGTTCTCTTGCCTAAAAATTCATTCAATTTCCGATTACAGTCGTATTACTATTTTGTATATTGTAATACCTTGACGTTAAGGGTTAAGGTGTTATCAGGACTGAGAAGAACTTCTCTGTCTAACGGCTTAGCTGTTCGAATCTCCCCAGACGAAGAATCAATTGAGAAAAAGTCGTAAGGATCTTTAATAAGAAAATAGCCACTGAATAAATTTTTTATTCAAATTAGATAAAAGGTTCGCCTTACTGTCAACTAATTCGTAAGCGATTTTTCGGGGTAATCCCCTGTCACCGTCTTCAGCATGTATGGTGAGAACAAGGGAGTTTATGGGGGCATCTTCGCCTATGACTGCCCCCAATGGACCGACAAAATAAGGTGGGGTGTCTTGGACGTCTCCTATTTTTATGCTAACTTTTGTTGTATTCGTTAATTCACCGTCCTTAAATTAGACCACAAGAAAAATTATATAAATGTAAATACATCGGTGCTTTTTTTTAGAAGATTTTGGTTTCTATTACCGTTGCTTCCAAAAGAAAGACGTACTCCTGACTTTCGCTGTAGTTTAGTTTCTGTTTCAAAACGATTCCTCCGAGGAATGCGTTTTGGGACGACTCGAAAGTAACGACCTCGAACTTCTGACATGCGTCCGGATAATCTGGTAAATCTACGCAAACCATTTCCAAAGAATTACCAACCGAATCGGCATCCGATGCTCGTATGTTCGAAAAAATTGTGGCTCCTATAAGAGCATCTTCGTCCACTTGTATATCGTAAGGAGTCTTTATGAGAACAAAAATACGCTGATCAGGCAAAATCTCTAAATGTTAAGGAAAATTGAAAGGCAGGAGTCGATTCGTAAACTAACTTTCATTTCTAGAAAATTGTGAGTTTAGTAACGATGTTAAATAAAGAATAAAAAAAAAATATATTTATTACTACAGAAATATTCAAATTAAGGTTCATAACGTGCTTTTTATGCATACTTTCGATAATTTGTCAAGAGCCATAATGAAGTAGAGAAAAATGTATTTTAAAGTCCTTAATTTTCTGAAACGTCTTGAAATTGAAATTCCTGAAGGAAATATAAAATTAACATCAGGAAACTGTCAAATTTTACCTTTAGGGACATATTTCCATAATGCGATAGGTTTGTATGAGTTTATCATCAATAAAAAAAGAGGAAATTGTTTAAAAAAGTTGTGTATAATACGATGGTTTACAGTATAATTGTATACAATTCTTTTCGTATATTTTCTTTACCATTGACTAGTTCTTCCCCCCTATGAGTCACTGTGAGCTCGAAACTGTTAGCACCATTGCTTCGAGTGGTCGAAATTCACTTTTGTAGACAATTTGTTTCATCACTTTCAAAAAAATATCGATCCATATTTTTTCGGTTGTTTATATCTTCAGTTTTCAGTCAAAAAGATTATTTATATGTGCGTGACATGTTACTTTTAAGATAATTATAATACTTTATGTTAAAAATTGTTTGAAAAATTAAATTTAGAGGAATTATTTGTAAATAGGTATGCAACACATCGTACACTTCAGCATGAGAAATTGCTGATACTAACTACGTAATACTATTTTGCCCTGTGCTGACTGCACTCATAATTTCTTTTATATATAATATGAAATTTTAACAAGTGACTGGATTAATATTGTTGGATTATTCTTTGTTTTATCACAGGATAATGTCAGTTTAGTAAGCTGTTGTTTATTTACTTACACCTTCAAAAACAGGAGCGTTATCATTTTCATCCAGGATGATAACGGTAACAGGTACTTCCACTACATTATTACCACCGAGGGGTGCATCTTTTACTTCGTCTTCTATCGTTACAAAAAATTTGAGGGTATCGTTTACCTTAAATAAAACAAGAAGGAAATATTATTATTATTATT